GATTCGAGGTATACTCAGGCAGAACTATTAGCACTTCCTGAATAAAAGAGATACTAAAGGCAAACATAAATTTCACACAAGTACAGCAGTATATGGAACAAAAACTTCAAACAAATAAAGATAGAAGGATTATAAGGCATGACCTCCAAGCATTGAATTCGAGGTCGATAACCAAAAAATCTCAAAACCAATTATACGGCATAATCACTTGTTGAAAATAATAATACCCAATTGAACTATCAAATGATACATATGTACAATATTAAAGAAAAAAGAGAAGAACTCGAATTTGTACACTCTTTTCCGCACAATCTAATCTTATCTATGCTTGAGATACATTAAAACAGGTATTTTATGTCTAAGACTAGGAGTAAAATTTTGAAGTATTAGTATACATCGACCTCTTATAGCCTTCATGCCAAAAACTGACTTTCCGACTATTAAGTATCCAAGTATGTGATTTTGCCCTGTTTATCAACAATTACCCGGATCTTCCCATCAAAACGAACAACTCTGGATGAAAGATTCTTTTCATCATAGGAAAGGGTCACTTCTTTTTCTTTCTTTTCTTTTTTTATTTCATGTACTCCACTACACCCTGACTAATCTCCTCAAGGAAGGAAACGAATCCCAAGACACTTGGGAAACCATTTCCCCCAACGTACTGTTCCTCTATAAGATAGTTCTCAAAGGCTGTCGCATCATCCTGCCCTCCCCTAATAAATTTGAGTTGAGGAGTGATACTTCGCTCTTGCTTCAGTTTGTTAATGGTATTTCTCAATAAACCTGGGTTTGGAAGAAAGCGAGAAACCACTAGTAAGCATGAAAAAATCACTCCTAGAGCATGTTTTCCTAAGCTTAAAAAGTTCGCTTACAAATAAATTTACTGACAGGTAAATAATTAAGTTTTTCAAAATAAAATAAGATTTTTAATTCGTAAGAGTTGAAAATAAGTTACTAATTGCATTTCAAAATAAGTAACATGTTTCACTTAAAAGAAACAAAACTTCTTTTAAAGCTTAGCCAAACATTTCTAAAATATCACTGTTCTGTGGAAAGCAGCAAAAATGAGGGAAGATAGCTTACAGTTTTGTGGTGGAGGAAAGGGAAGTGCAGGGTCGGCTGTGGATGAATAAAACACAATGAGACTTGCAAACGCATCCAGGAAAAATATCGGGCTACCACTTGTCATTAACGCAGCACGACTCAACGAATGGTGAGGAAATGCTTGTTTATCCGGACTGGAGTATGAGGTCAACAATGGATATATAGCCCGGTTAAGCGAAGATGGTTCCAGAGCACTGCATCAAGAATTAGGATATCAAGTTCTAAAATTCCGGATAAAACTTCAAAAAAATATATAATAAATTCAACTAATATGGTATATAGTGTGAGAATGCGTTTGAGTAAAAGTTGAACAGATCAATCATTAAAGAATACGCGATAATTATTTTCAACTAAGTCAAAGTGATACTAACGATAAAAGAGAACTCCAGAAAGAAAATACAGTAGAAACTATTCTGCAAATACAATCAAGCATAACCATCATTTACTAATAAACCAATGGAGGAATGTATCTTGCAAGTTCTAAACACATGCACGAAGGGACATCTACGAATATATGTAATTGCTACTGTCTTAATAGTTATTCATTTCTAGATGAGATAACAGTATTATTTTACTATTATTTTTCTTTTCTCTATTCTGAAAGGTCTGCCCTACGAAATATTAAAAAAGCTTCCAGCACAATCAAAATCCCCCATTCAAGCCTGACGTTCTCATTTGTGTCTAATTTCTCAAATGGAATTCTTCGCTTCTTGTCTAGTTGACAGAGAGCTGTCGTATTCAAAACTTCCATAGTTCCTTCCAAAGGAAACATGAATCAAAAACATGAGAACGTGATGAGGTAGATCTTAACATCTTTATCTAAACAAGAAATCTGACATGAAAAGTGAAATTGTATTAACTATAGTATTCAAATGCATCCGACAAACTCAACATAGTGTATACCTGAATAGACATTGAAGATATATTCTGTAGTCTGGATGAACACCTTCCTCATGAAAGCGGAGGAGAGCATTTCGCAGCAAAGCAAAGACTAATTGAGGTAAAGGTTGCAGCTGAGGGCATTGGGAGAAGGCGACGTCAATGTTAGCAGTTGTCAAACTCCCACTTTCGTATTGGGCAATTTTGTAAGCATCATTATACTGAGCTATAAGAATTACAAGCCAATTGTGTAGTAACATCCTACCCTCTCGGACTCCTTTCTCTGAAGAGGCCAAAATCACCTGTGGAAAATTGTGCCAAATTAACAAACTGGCATTTAGCAATAGAAATGAGATAGGTTACCAGAATTTCCTAACATGCCAAAATATCCTCAGTCTGTAGAGGATCACAAATTAAGAGACAGCATGTGATTCTGGAGGAGGCATTACTAGATAAATGATAATTTCAAGATTGCATTGAAACACAACAATGCTAAAGAGCAAAGAACGTTGTGAATTTCCCTCACAGATATAATGACAACTGCATATGTTCCAGCAAATGATTTCAATACTAAAGTTTAGAGCCAATAATTTTCAGTAACAACAGACAAGTTTTCAGTAAATAAAATTTGCAGAGAAAATTGCATCAACAGAACTGAGCAAATAAATTCATTTGCCAAATAATCAAGAGTTGTCTAGATTTTGTTTTAGTGTTTTCAACCAAGGAAATTGTTTACAGCTATGGAGTTGTGTGGGATTAATTTTCAGCAAATAAAATTTGAGGAGCAAATTGCATCAATAGATGTCAGCAAATAAATTAATTTGCCAAACAATCAAAAGTTTTCTAGCTTTTGTTTTAGTTTTCAACCGAGGAAATTGTTTAAAGCTATAGAGTTATGTGGGATTTAATAATGGCCAAAGTCATCAATTGCCCACCACTAATTATTAAGTCACAATTTGCTTCCATTAAACCTTTCTCTGATATGGAATATTATCTAATTTAAAATATATAAATACAAGATAAAGATAATGTAGAAAAGAAATCTAGAATATGTATTCCTATCTTTGTTGTACTTATAAATATTTCATCACATAATCTAGTGCACATATGAAGAGACATGTTTTTTGAGATCGAAGAATATATTCAGACTTAACCCTCTAAATGTGTGCATATATGACTATATTTAAAGTTTCAATAAAAGTTTTAAATAGGCACTTTGGTGATGCTTTGCATCTTGCTTATATGCACACAGTGTACCACATAAACCTTCCTTCTCCACCCACACCTCAACTATGTTAATATTTAATATTAAAGAAGGTTCAGGTAATGATGATAACAAAACATAATTCAGGTACCAATCTACCTTGTGAACAAGTATTGAGAGAACAACTTCAGGATCAACACTGTCGTATATCTCGTTAATACTACGTGCTGCTCCAAACTGGAAAGTTTTAATCCTCAATCTCCTTCGGAGGGAGTACTTTTCTCTGCATAATTGAACATCACAGAAAGCCAAACTAAAAAACGTAGGACATAAATGTCTAAAGCAAGTAATGTTGGTAAAGATTCTTCCAGAGAAACAGCAAATGAAGGACAAAAAGTAGAAGCTTTACCACAGCCCTCAATGGATCAGTCAACAACAAATGGA